AATTTCCATAAACACCAACGCATGCACGATGTGGAATTTTTGGAGAAAAATTTTTCCTTCCCTTCTCTAAGAGAATTTCGGCCATAACTGGAATTAGGGCAAAAATTGTTTCAAAAATTGTCTCAAAAATTGTGTTCACAATTTTCTAATATTCTCTTATTTATAGAGTAAAAGTCAAACTTCTAGAAGGAATCCAATCTCTATCTCCAAGATAAATCTTGTTAATTATCTCCTATTTGAATTTGAAACAAAATCTTCCATTCACTTATCCTTAAGTGTGGCCGGCCAAGATAAGGGATTCTCATCCCTGTGTGGCGCCAATTTCAGATAGGGAAGGAAGAGAAAATCATCATTTATCATGTAGTCCAATTTTGACTCAAATTTAAATTCCAATTTAAGTCAAACTTAAATTAATTTGAATTCTAAATTGAACAACTTATCAAATAAGTTTAAATGGATAAATCTAGATGTGTTCAAATTCAAATTTAAATAATCACATTATTTAAATAATAATTAATTCTCAATTAATTATTTTTAAGTGTTTAATTTTAGAATTCCGTAATTCTAAAATTCCCATTTTGCCCTTTGTGTCTGGTAGAATTACTAGGATGATGCGGGGACTAATGGACCTATAATCCTGAGCTCCAATAAAATTAATAATTAATTAAACACTTTAATTAATTAATTAATTATATTAATTCTAATAGTTACTCTACTATAAACTTGGAATTGCACTCTCGAAATTATAGACATAAATTACTTCTAAACCGTGAAGTGTCCATTTGATATAGTCATTGCATATAGATCGATCTTCCATACATAATTCATAATTAGAGCAAGGTAAAATCCGTTAACCTCTCTAATTACATCTTTATCCTTGAGTACCATTGATTCTTTAATGGACAGTGATTCATAAAACACATTCATGAATCCGAGCTCCTACTGGTCCAAGTACCGAATCAACCCTCAAGAGAATTATTTATCTACTTCTTTCTTAAGAAGGAATGGATTTCATCTCGTGTAATAACATTCCTGGCTACCTACTTCATCATGTCTCTAAAATACAAGGAATAGGATTCAGGATCTCAGAATCCGTACCGAGTAAATCAAAAGACACAAATCCATAAATAGGAGTCTGTTAAGAACTTAGGATTAAGATCATTCTATATATGACTATTGGTAGACTCAATTATAATTTCTATACTTAACAGAAATTATTAAAAATTCATATTGTGTCTGTGTCCTTGTTCCATATAATCTCATTATGTGAAATACACTCATTCAATATCTCACATATTAACAGTGGAGATAACACCGTTCCATTCTAAATGGGAATGACATGTATTAATAATGTTTTAATTAAAGATTCTGAACTTTAATTAAATTCATTATGAACAATGTTTTTTATTATTATCCTTAAACATTATCCTCTCATATATAACACTTATATACAATGTTTAAGGTTACATAAATAATCACGGAATTTTCATTAATATTCATAAAATATTCACAAATATATGCACATAAAATGATGAATAAATTCTTTTATTAAATAAATAATAAATATCCTATTACATGTTATGCTTCTAGGACACCATTCCCAACACTAATTGAGTCTATCAATGGTCATATATAGAATGATCTTAATCCTGAGTTCTTAACAAACTCCTATTTATGGATTTGTGTCTTTTGATTTACTCGGTACGGATTCCGAGACTCTGAATCCTATTCCTTGTATTTTGGAGACATGATGAAATAGGTAGCCGGGAATGTTATTATACGAGATGGAACCCATTCCTTCTTGAGAAAGAAGTAGATAAATAATTCTCTTGAGTGTTGATTCGGTACTTGAATTAATAAGAGCGCTCTGGTTCATGAATGTGTTTTATGAATCACTATCCATTAGAGAATCAATGGTACTCAAGGATGAAGATATAATTAGAGAGGTTAACGGATTCTACCTAGCTCTAATTATGAATTATTTATGGAGGATTGATCTATATGCAATGACTATATCAAATGGACACTTCACAGTTTATAAGTAATTAATGTCTATAATTTCGAGAGTTCAATTCTAAGTTTATAGTGGAGTAACTATTAGAATTAATAGAATGAATGAATTAATTAAAGTGTGTAATTAATTATTAATTTTATTGGAGCTCGGGTTTATAAGTCCATTAGTCCCCACGTCGTCCTTGTAATTCTACCAGACACAAAGGGCAAAATGGGAATTTTAAAATTATGAAATTCTAAAATTAAATACTCAAAAAATAATTAATTGAGAATTAATTATTATTTAAATAATGTGATTATTTAAATTTGAATTTGAATCATGAACATAATTTAAATTTATCTTTTTAAACTTATTTGATAA